TTTTTTTTTTTTTGCGGTACGCGGGCCTCTCACTGTTGTGGCCTCTCTCGTTGCGGAGCACAGGCTCCGGACGCGCAGGCTCAGCGACCATGGCTCACGGGCCCAGCCGCTCCACGGCACGTGGGATCCTCCTGGACCGGGGCACGAACCCGTGTCCCCCACATCGGCAGGCGGACTCTCAACCACTGCGCCACCAGGGAAGCCCTGTCGTTTAAATTATCAAGTGGTGGGTAATGTGACTTGGCTAAACCAAATGGAGAGCTGAAGATAACACCATGCAGACTCCAGTGGGGTTAAGATCAAACTCCATCGAGGCTTAGTTGCTCACTAGCCTCTCTCTGTGGTCTGTCTCCACCTACCCGGTTTAGATCTAAACCTCCAAAGAATTGTTTTACTACGAGAACTGTCAGAATCATTAGAAATGAAGACGTGTGGGGTCTTTGTTTCTTGTCGCTATTATTGATGGTTGTCATGGGAGTTTTCCCAGATGTCACTGGGAATGGACCCATGGGGTACAGGCACAGTCTCATGGGTCATCAGCATTTGTCTTAGGGGAGAAACAATTTCTGTCCTCGCAGAATGAGCGGCTCAAGGTTTGAGAGTTCATCGGGTTAGAATTGTATTATATTTGAGGTAAGTGTGGACTTCATGACCATCAAAAGCATTAAGAGTTCCTCAATTCTGAGGGAATCTAGCGGTCTTCATGTGACCTGCCAGGAAGGTTATAAAAAAAATCATTGCTGTTGACCCAGCTGTTCCACTCCTAGGTGTATGCCCAAAGGAACTGAAAACTGGTGTTCAAACAAAAACTTGTACACGAACGTTCACAGAAGCACTATTCACAGTAGCTAAAAAGTAGAAACAACCTAAATGCCCATCAGCTGATGAAATGATAAACAAAATGTGGTCTATCCATTCAGTGGAATATTATTCAGCCATAAAAAGGACTGAAGTTCTGATGCCAGCTACATCAGCATGACATGGATGAACCTTGAAAACATTATGCCGAGTGAAAGAAGCCGGACACAAGACCACATATTGTATGAATCCATTTTAACAGGGAAATCTATAGAAACAGAAAGTAGATTAGTGGTTGCTTGGGGCTGGGGATTGGAGGGGTGCTGAAGCATGCGGGGGTTCTCTCTGAGGTAATGAAATGTTCTGAAGTTGACTGTGGTGATGGTTGCAAATATCTGTGAAAATACTAAAGAACAGTGCATACTTTAAATGGGTAAATTGCACGGTATGTAATATCTCGGTAAAGCTATTTTTAAAGAAAAAAGTATTTCTGAGGCTGTGATTTTTTCTAATTTTCAGACACTTATCGTCTTATCTTTTGCCCAATGACTGGTCTCTTCCAGCTGTGGTTTCTTGTCTCCAACTTAGAAACCTTCGAGACGGGACTTTTGCATCCAGGGGCTTCTTTGTAGCGTCTAGTGGATTTCCTCACCTCACCCAGGCCACCCAGCGGCCTGGCCCAGAGAGGGTGAACTGAGGCATAACCAGGCATGGTTCATTTGCTACAGTATTTTCCAGAGTTTTTGTAGAACTGTTAGAGCTCCCGATTTGTCAGCCCACAATGAAGGTGAGCGCCGTCAGAACAAAAATACCATCCTCCTGTTTGGGGCCCCTTTTATAAATATTCTAGTGGATTTTATACAGACTAAATTCTGTTCATATGTCCTAATGATTTGAATCAACTTTTCAGGATACGCAGATGCATGTAAGATATAATGGCCCTCAGTGAAAGGGCTTCTGAAAGAACCTATTTAAAATTTTGAAACCTTTATTTATTAATACCCGCCAGGACGTACCCTTTACAAAATGGATCCTAAAGGTAGTTTTTAAAACCTCAGTGACTCACACACATCTTTAGGCTCCATCCCACCTGTAATCAGCTGGGATAATGTCAAGACGGAGTTCTTAAAAAATGAATTAACTGTGGTTTGTACAAAAGTGGCCAGTCACCCCTAACGCTTAGTCTTGTCACATGAAATACTAGGAAGTGGGCCCGTGAGCCCTCCAGGCACTTCCCAGTGTTCTCAACACGGGCAGAACAAGGCATCTCGAGACCCAGGCTCAGACCTGACCCCCGTTACTTCTGCCTCATTCCATTGGCCAAAGCAAGTCATGTGATCAAACCCAAAGTTAGGAGGTGAGGACGCACAGCTCATCTCTAGTGTGAGGACGGTAAAGGGGGTAAGGCATACACGCGAGGAGGGGATAAAATACAGGGCCCCAAAACACAATCTATGACACCACCCAGCACCTTTCTTCCAACCACAGCCAGCTTTCTCCTGAACACAGCAACCAGGGACCCACTTCACCCTGGAGGACTTACACCAGTGATAACGCAACTCCAGGTGGCATCCAGAGACCACCGTAACCTTGGCTTTGGGGACCACTGAAAGTTCAATCCTGAAGTTACAGCTCTGTACATATCAAATCACTAATTTCCTGGACTGGAGACCAGGGGCAGGAGGTTCCAGGGTAAAATGGACACACGCAGACACACGCACATTTTGTTAACTTCATCAACATTTATTGAGCTGTGAACCGTTGCAATCACTGCTGAAATGTGAGACTCACCCATCCTGATCCGCTCTCAGCTTCCCCTTGAAAAGGAAGCCTGGAGCAGGACCGCCCCAAACACCAGAGGGTAGAAGGAAGACATGGCGGGGTGCAGGGAGATGAGGGACAGGGGGGGAAAGGAAGAAGCGGGACCAGCGTGCAAAGTTAGACTCCTGGGGACACACGCACACTCCCACACACGCAGGCAAAGACCAGGGGTGTCCATCTCTACCCCAACCAGCAGCCGTGAGAACATCAGGGAAGGACCAGGCGTCCACGAGACATTTCAGTCCTTCCTGTCATGAAGCGTCTGCCGAGAGGGGCTGGGCCAAGGTCACTGGACTGCGCAGAGAGAAGGGGGGAGGGGGCTTCAGACTACAGGGAGAGAGGCCAGATTAAAGGGAGTCACTTCACTGACTTTAACCTCTAAGCTTTTGCTGTAGTAAACTGCAACCATGAGTAGAACAGCTCTGCTGAGTTGTGTGAGTCCTTCAAGAGAATCGCTGAGCTTGGCGGTGGTCTCGAGACTCCTGAAACTGCGCTCAGAAACCATGCGAACAAGAATCATTCTTCCCCCTTTCTTTTCTTACATAAATCCCATTTTTGCTTATTTTAGATGAAATCACCCATTGGTGGACTCCTCTGAATCTAAGCAAACCTTGTGCTCATTTAAGCAAATGCCTTGAGTTACTGACAGTTTGGAGGCGGCAAATGGTGTGTTTATGCAAGGGATGCGCCGTTTGTCTTGAGGAGCTCAAACCCCACAAAGGTGGCCCCCCCACCCCCCACAGCAACAGCCCACACATCGCCAGCTCATGCGGCTTTGGAATTATGAAATTCTTGATTTTCTTTTTTTAATCTGGGGAGACTCACTTCTTTTCAGACCTGCACAGGAGGCAAGACATTCATATTTTTGTACTGCTTTAATTCAAATTTGCGGGTCCAAATTCCCACTGAAAGCAACCTCGCTCTGCTCTAGTGAGGACGGTAAGAAATGGACCTTGAGTTCAAAGCGTTTCAGAACCAGGTTCCTGGTGCAAAGCATGCTGGGGGCAGGTACCTGGGTCCCCAGTATCCTGGCACAGGACACTCAGTGCTAGCACACCGTGGGGCGGGAACTGGCACTCAAGCTTAGAGGGGGGCAGAAAGTGCTTCTAGGCTCTCAAAAGCCAGGAGCCAGAGCTTGGTTATGGCTTGGTTAGTAACCAGGGCCCAGTTCCAGGACAGGTTGGGTTTGGGGCTCATCTAGAACGTACAGGCTTGAAAATCGAAAAGCAGGCTCAGAAAGTGCTGAAAAGCAGTTCTACGGTCCAGAGAACAACATGGAAACCGCTACTTGTTCTGGTATTGGGCTGGACACTAGTGCTCGGGTCTGGAGCACGTTAGGAACAGGAGTCGTCAATTGTCGTCTAGGCGCCGGGTCCCCCTCACCTCTGCCCTCAGGGCCCATTAGGCCTGAGCCAAAGCGGCTTTGATGGCGGCCACCAGCTTCAGAAACTTGCTCTCCGTGTCCACATAGCCATCGCCTCCCTGGAGAAGGGAGGAAGAGGCGAGGGATGAGCTGGGACCAAGATGCCAACCCCAGTCCCAAAACCCCACTAGCCCCAAATGGGGCAGAACGGACAGACAGACATACCTTCTTGGAGTGAACCAACTTCCCCGCTACCAACACTTCAAAGAAACCGGTGACCTGGGGCGTCCCCTCGCCGCACTGGGGAGAAGGAGAGGTGTTGGCAGGGCTGAGATGCCCTCTTGGGGACACCCGCCGTTGCCCAAGGAATGGAGAATGGGGGCGAAGGGTGGGGCTGACCCACACCACCCCCACCGCCATCCAGGGCTGAAGGATGGACATGACCCATGTTTGACTCCTTCCCCATCCCCAGGACCCACGATGTCCAGGCGTCCAGGAAACTCATCTTCTAACTTCTTCTTAAGCTGAAGATACTGCAAAAGGGGGTGCGAGGTCACAACAGGGGTCCACAGGAGCCACGCCAGCTAGCCCCCCTCCCCCATCTTCCAGGGGTGCCTCTTGGGACCACTCTGCTTACCTTGGACTTGTAGCCTCAAGCGCCACTGGTGGGAGAGTGTCCAAGAGAGTGGGTCCCGGGAGAGAGAGGGAGACGGTGGGGATCCAGGGAGAGGCAGGAGCAGAGATGGAGGGAAATGGGGGGGAGCAGGAAGAGATGAAGAGGGACACAGATGACAAAACCAAGCAAGGCACAGACACCCTCAAGAGAGAGGAGAGACACACCCGAGTGTTGGGGGGCAGCACACAGATGGGGAGGCAGGGGCACAGGAAGGAGAGAGCCACCCACGCGAGGAAATTCAAAAAAGGGGTGACAAGGGGAGGCCACAGCGTGAGGCAGAGCAGAGGCGGAGGCAATGGAGAGAACTGGGTTAGGACAACTGCTGAAATAACAGCTCCACCCCCGCCCGTCCAAGGGAAACCATTATTCCTGGATCCCCAAGGCCCTGCCAGGCCCGAGGATGAAATTTAAACGCCTCCCCAACCCCCCACGGGAGGCTATTTTGGAACTGGAGTCTGGTGCACAGGCCCCCCCCTCCCCGGCCTCAAAATTTCACTTCACCCCCTGCGTGACCGAGCGGCCAGGGACACCGCTAATGCTGTGACAGATGTGAGCCTTTCATAACCCCCTCTGGACATCTCACAGACATGACAGCCAGTGGACCCAGATTCGGGTAATCTGTGATCTGCAGCCTGAACCTCGAGCTACCGACCTGCCACTGCCCCACTCCCAGCCTCAGTTTCCTCACCTGTAAAATGGAGCTAGACACACCCCCTCCCCCACCCCCACTCAAGGGGTTTCCGGGGGAGGAAATTCACTTAACATGTATTTATTCAGCGCCTACAGGCCAGCATGCCTGTGCATGCCAGCACAGTCCTAGGGGCCAGGGCGATCAAGCAGTCTACAGGACGGAACATTCCCTGCCGACCTGGCACTTTTTCACTCTGAACGGAACAATCAGATCAAATGTTTAACACCCAACACACAGTATTCCCTCCGCGGTAACGTTAAGATCACTCCCTCTACAGACGGGAAAAGCGAGGTCAGAAAAAGACTAGGGTTAGTAGCGAAAGGCATCCACTGTACGCATTCAAGTCCTTGCCAAACGCACGTCGGAAACTTCTCGAACCTTCTCGACTCTGGCCGGCCCCACCCCGCGACTGTTCCAGGTACTGGGGGAGGGGAAACCGAGGCGCTGACGGAACCTCCTCTCCCATTACACACTGACCCCCACCTGCTCCCCACACTGAGTCCCGGAATCGGGGGGGTTAAAACAACACACACGTGTCGCAGTTCTACCTTTTGAGACCTGAGACATGTAGAATGTTACAAACTGGGGACGGGGTGGGGGGGGGAGGGCAGAGAAATCAGCGCCCTCTGTTTCCCACCCCTACGGAATCCTTTTCCCAGTGGAAGGATCCCCATGGGTCCTGCCCCCGACGTCCCCAGCGCCCAGCTCCGCTAGGACAGGGCGGGGCCCGGGCAGGATTCGAAGAGGGGATCTCCGGCCCTCGTGCTCACCAATAAACGACTCGAACGGCAACAGCCATGATTCCGGACCGGAGCATCCGCTACAGTCCGAACGCCCGATCAGCACTCGGGCGAGAAAAGGCGAGGTGGGAGCCCCGAGGCGGAGCATGCGCAGAGAGGCCAGGTACTGGGCGTTCCACAGAGCGGACCAACGCCGCGGGGGGGATGAGGGGAGAAAGGCCCCACAGCGGGGACGAAGGGGGCCCTACGGCCCACCACCACCCTGAGGGCCCCGAAGCAAATCTCCCTCCTCTCGCCCTGTGAGGCCAGGGAGCATACCGGCAGAGGGAGTCCCGGGAGAAGCCTTTGCGCGCCCCCTCCCGGATCTCCCCCTCCGGCCTGGAATGGTATGGCCTCGCGGGGCGGGGGTTCAGGGCCGACTGCTACTAGGAGGAAACGGAAGTACAAGCGAAGGCGGTGGTTTTGCAGCGAGGACCTGGGGGGCGGGGCCGGGGGCGGGGCCGGGGGGAGGCCGAGGGCGGCAGCGAGGCCGAGAGGGCTGAGTCCGAAAGGATTTGGGGTACTCAGGGCAGCCCCTGAAGCTGGGGTTTCCAGTGAGCGCCCCAGGGCCCCGCTGCCTTATTAAAGCTTGGCATCCGCACCCGGGCGCCCTGATCAGCTTGGCAACCCCCCCTTTTGCGCCTTCCAGTCCTCTGTGTGGCAAGGTGTTCACGGAGAGTGCTGGAAGCTGGCAGCTGAGTTAAAGGCTTAGGGCGCGATGCCTTTCTCTGAGCCTCAGTTTCCTCCTCCGGAAGATGGTATAATCGCCTTCAGAGAATATTTACCCATCTAAGAAATACGTACTGGGTACCTACCTGCAGTCATAGGTTCCGAAGATACAGCAGTGAAAAAATAGACAAAGTCCCTGCCCTTAGCTCTGCCCGAGGTCTTCCCACCGCAGCTTCTGTCTTTGATCCGCTGGTTCTCACCTGCTGTGACCCTGACGTCTCGGGGCACTTGGCAGACATGGTTCAAGTTCCACCCCACCTCTTTTGCTGGCTGTGTGTCCTCTGATCTCAGTGGTCTTGGGAAGATACAATGAGCCTCTGATGTAGAGCAGATAACATGTGGCTGGGCTAGTCAGTGTCCCATTAATAGAGGTCTTTTTCAGGCTTCCAAGGTCCTCAGAACAAAAACCCAAGCCTTGGGAGTTCCCTGGTGGCCTAGTGGTTAGGATTCCAGGCTTTCACTACTGTGGCCGGGGTTCAGTTCCTGGTGGGGGAACTGAAATCTCGCAAGCTGCCCGGCTTGGCCAAGAAAACAAGCAAAAGAACCCCAAGCCTTAGCATGCTCTGCCCCTGACTGGTCCCATTGTTCCCTTCTTGCCCCTCTCTTAGTGCCTTAGCCACGTGGAATCAGGGACCTCACCCACTCACCTGCCTCTGGGACTTTGCGCACGCTCCTTCTACCCTCTCCTACTGCCTGACCCTGTTCATCCTCCAGAAATCAGCTCCAACATATCGTAGGGAAAATTTTGTGTCGTGATAAACTATACCTTCTCCATATTGCATCTGTATTAGTTTGCTAGGGCTGTCATCACAAAGCACCACAAACTGAATGGCTGAAACCCCAGAAATTTATTTCACGGTTCTAGAGGCCAGGAGGCAGAGATCAAGGTGTCAGCAGGGTTAGTTCCCTCTAAAGTCTGTGAGAAAGAATTTGTTCCATGATCCTCTCCGAGCTCCTGGTGTTTCGCTGGCAACCTTTGGTGTTCCTTGGCTCCTAAGAGCACCACCCAATATCTACCTTCAACTCCACGTGGCACTCTCCCTGTGTGCATGTCTGTGTCCAAATTTCCCTATTTACTTAATTTTCTTATTTTATCTTTATTTTATTTTATTTATTGGCCATGCCACGTCGCATGTGGGATCTTAGTTCCCTGACCAGGGATCGAACCCATGCCCCCTGCAGTGGAAGTGTGGAGTCTTACCACCAGGGAATTGCCAGGACCCAGTCATTTTAGATTAGGGCCCACCCTATGCCAGTATGACCTCATCTTAAGTAATTGCATCTGCAACAACCTTGTTTCTAAGTAAGGTCACGTTATGAGGTACTGGGGGTTAGGACTTCACATATGAATTCTGGTGGGACATAATTCAGCCTGTAACAAGCCATTCAGAGTTATCTGATTCTGTGGGGTTCTGTTTTACAACTCCATAAACTGTAGATAAGTGGCGGCATTACAAAATAATTCTTCTCTACAGGCGTGCAAATGAATTCTGTCTGGTGGAGGGACAACCCTCTCTCCCTTAGTCTGTTTGGGCTGCTATAACAAAATACTACAGTTTATAGCTTATACACAACGGAAATTTATTGCTCTCAGCTCTGGAGGCTTCAAAGTCCAAGATCAAGGTGCCAGCATGGTTGAGTGAGGGCCTTCTTCCTGGTTCATAGCTGCCACCTTCTCGCTGTGTCCTCACCTGATGGAAGAGGCAGGGGATGTCTCTGGGGTCTCTTTTATAAGGGCACTAATCTCATTCATGAGAGCTCCACTCTCATGACCTGAGCACCTCCCAAAGGCCCCACCTCCTAATACCATCATCTTCAGGGGAACGCAAACATTCAGACCATAAGACCCCCCCAAATGTTTTGCCTCTATTTGCATTTTTGTTTCAATATTCCTGATCTATAAATGCATCTGTTTGTTGATTTTCCTTTGAACCAGTTATAACACCTGACAGTGTTAAGTGACATCTTTAACATGTTTTCGCTTTTAGATCTGTATGAGTCATGATTTTCCCTTTTTTCCCCAAAATTATCTTCTAACAATGCTGTCCTCAAGGAAGGCCACCCAAACCCCACAGGCTGGCCAGGGTCCCCATGGGGCTCCCCCATCACTGCCCCAACCACTCTGGTTGTCCCAGGTCTGACGTTTTCTCAGCACACCCAGCAAGTGGCTGGGCACAGGGCAGATGCTCAGAGGCTGTTTTGTTGACTGAAGAGTGAGAGACGCCCCCCTTCTGCCACTGAGAACAAAGAGGTCTCTGTTGCCCAGGAGTGGAGGAGGCTGGAGACAGTAGTCACGCTTCTGGGGTTGGGAATGCATCCCTTGCTCACTCTCTCTCTCTCTCTCTCTCTCTCTCACACACACACACACACACACACACAAATGGTAACACACAGCTCTCCCCCTTACCTGGCTACACAATTGCACATTCAGACAAACCACAGCCCAGCCAGAGACACAACGCAACAGCACAAACCTCTATTCTGCTACACAATGACACAAAAACACACCAGGCTCTCCCTATACAACAGCGCAGCCCCTACCCAGCCAGGATCATGACAACTACACCTCCAGATGCGCAACTCACGCACTATGGCTGCCGCCTCTACCCGGCCACGTGGTGGAACACACAACTGTACCCTGGACAATAACACAACACACATGTATCCGGATGGAGACACAACAGCTCACCCAGAGACCCCGCTCACTGGGACACACAATTGTATACACAGCACACACTGCTGAATCTGGCCACGGACACTGATACACAACCGCACAGCTGCACACAGAGACATGATCAGTAATGCCCACGGACACACACACACACACACACACAACATTAACCTACCAATAACCCAGACAGACTCTCACTTGGATGTATCTGGGCATGAACACCATTGCATAACCACACACCACCCCAGGGACACACCCAGGCAGAGACACTGCAGCCCAATCATACAGCACATGCAGGCTCCCACTCACAGCCTCACAGTGACCCACGCCCAGGCTTGGGCACACGCAGTAAACAGACATGGTCCCTGCCTCCTGGGGCTCATGTGATGGTCAGGGAGACGGACACGGGAAATCATAAATAAATAAGGATTCCTATTTATTTACAGCATAGTGAGTGCTGGGAAGAAAAATAAAGCCAGGAAGGATGGCAGGGAGTGCTGGGCTGGGGAGTTTTGTAAATAGATCAGGGAAGGCAGCTCTGTTATTAAATACACAATGAAACAAAAGCTTCCTTCGGGCCTAAATGGCAGGAAATGTGTTATCCCATTTTACAGATGGGCAAACTGAGGTACTTGGATGAGGTCACACCAGGCACAGAGCATGGATATGACCCCGCTGCCTGGCTGTGGAGCCTGTGCTCTGAACCACCTTCCTGTCGGCAAGACGGAGAAAAGGGAGGTGGGCAGGTGGGGTGGGCCAGGTGGGATGGGGAGTTGTCAGGGATCCCGAAAGCTCCAAGGGGTGAAGGAGACCTGGACTTCCGAGAAGCCAGGAGGTCCAGCCTCTGCCCCACCCCTGCCCCAGGGAAGACGCTGCCCGAGACTCTGTGTCTAATCTGGTGGCCCTGGAGAGTGACCTGGAACCCCATCACGCTTTCAGTGTCTTCAACACCTTGATGCAGGTAAGGCTTGCGGCGGGGCACCCCATCTGGCTGTCGTTCTGCACGGGGCCAGGGCCTCCCTGAGGCTGTGGCTCCTCCTTGTGCCCCCACCCCCACCCCAGGGACAACCACTGAGCCCTCCGCAGGCCGGGCCTGTCTGGGGAGGACCCTGACTCCACCATTCATGGGACCAGCACGTGCAGAGGCCCCCGCCTGAGGGGGAGCCTGGAGCATGTCCTGAAGCACTGACCTGACCTTGTCACTCCTCTCTGTGGGCCCCCCAGTGCCCTCTAGACAGGTCCAAACTGTTTAGTACTATTCACTCTTTCATTCATTCATTCAACAAACATTCACCGAGACCCTGATATATGTTGTCCCCAGATGGAGAAGACCCAGAGTGGGCGGGGCTAAGTTTGGAGGCATCCAAAGGGGGCATCTGACCAGCCTGGGAGGAGGTCAGGGAGGGCTTCCTGGAGGAGGGGACTTTGAGTTGACGAGGAGGAGGGAACCTGGCAGCAGGAAGAGCAGGTCCGAGGCCTCTGTCACCGGCGCCCACCTTCAGCTTCTCCAGATCTCCCACACCGAGACCAAGCAGGGTGCCGTGCTGCACCCCACCTGCATCTTCGCCAACATCCCCAAGGTGCTGCACACGCAGGAGCAGGAGGCCAGGGGCGGCGACGAACCGAGATACCGTGAGCCCAGGCGGGGGTTGGGGGAAGCCCTCCATTGGGGACGTGAGGGACAGGACAGTGACCTCAGGGTGCCCCTCGCCGTC